AACACGTGCGGGCGACCGGATACGTCTGGATGAATCGTGATTGGGAAGATGAACTCGTCGTATTCGCGGTAAAAGTAATCAAAGTGATCGCGCCAGATGTCCTCGATATCCCTGGGGTTGACCCACCCGTGGGAGTTGGCGCTATTCTTGATGAACATCTGCAGGTATTTGGTAAGCCTTTTCTTTTATACCATTTCTCGTTCGTGTGTACAAGGAATTGTGAATAAAGTACCATAGGCGGGAGATCATCGATGTACCAACTCCCCGGAATCTCAACAAGGCCGCTCTCCTGTCCCTTTTCAAGGGGCTTCATCCACTCTTCTGCTTTCTTTGAGTAATCAATCTTGGTCCATTTGTCTCCCTTGCGGAGGTAGTAGGGCTGGCAGTCGTGGTGGGACATGGAGTGATCGTATTCGATTCCGTATTTGAGCATCAGCTCAATGCCTTCTTCGGAGCACTCCCACCATGGAACGACATTCCCTCTCGGAGGCTTTCCGCAGAAGTCAGTCAACAGACGGTATGATTTGTCCAAGACATCGCGCTGTTGTTCCCAGCTCATGTCGACCGGGTTTTCATGGGAGTAGCCGTGAAGTCCGCTGTGGCTTGTTAGGATTCGGGAGATTATGGCGGAGCGGTGAAGGGGATACAGACATTTCATGCCCGGCATCTCGTACCATAGCACATTCCTCCGGAAATGTTTCCAGAGAGTGACCGGGGATAAACCATGTGGCCTTCATATCGTACTTCTCGAACAACTTCAGCAGCCGTCTGACGCCAATCGTTCCGGCAAACATTCCGCGGGAAATGTCGCTTGTGCTATCCTCCCCACCGTAGGAACCCAGCCATCCCGCAACGGCATCGATATCGACCCCGTATGTGCAAAGAACTCCTAGATTGGCATACGCATCAGCATACAATTGGAACGGGGATGCGATTGGAAAAACAATTCACTCTTTTTTCCCATTTCGATGATCTTCCGGTATGTATTTCTCAGCCAACGAAAGGGTGCTATCTGGTAAATAGCTCCGAACGGGGGTGGGGACGACCAATTGATGGGAGAAGTGGGAGAAGGGGAGGTGCCGATGAAGAATTAGTTTTGGAGGGGGAGGGAACTCGTTATCGATAAGGATCAACCCCGCCCTGCTTAAGCTGGGGCGAATCCCAGTCTCAAGTGCCGGAAGAATCATGCGAAAAGGATAGTGTGCATATCGGTTAAAACCTTCCCTTCCAAGGGGCACAAGTTAAGCGGTAGAATAGACGGCGCGATAGAAACCCATGATATTACCAAGTGGGAGCCGTGGGGAATAGGCTCCATTCCTCCAATTCTCCGGACCCCGCTTTTCGCCTCCCCGGAAGTCCTGAATGAGATCGAACACTATAAACACAAGACCAACCAAATGCGCAAGCGAGGGCCATTGTCGGGTACTCGAGCACTCGTAATACGGAAGGGCATGCAGTTTGACTGCCGCTTTCGTTTATGTGAGGTTATATAGGCTTGGAAGTTTCGTTTGGAGTATGGAGCCACTTTGTGAAATTCCTCTTTGGGTGTTGTCTTTTCCGTTTTTGGGCCGTTTTGTTTTTATTTGGCTTTTTACGGGTATCTGCCATTGGATTCCCCACGCTCCTTCCAGCAACGCTCGAGTACCGTCGTGTATCGTGCCGGTATCATGCCAAAAGAAGGGGGGGCGTGCGAAAGGTGGAGAGAATCAACAGGGCCCGGTCCTGGCGGCTCGATTTTCGGAAAGTGATTGGGAACTAGAGGATCCTATCGTGTATATCTTTAGTGAGCGCGAAATAGGTACCCGAAGATTCACCAGCATGCGTACTGTGCTCGTAGAAATCGGGCTTGGGAAGAGAGGTGTGTGAGATACGGTAGACTATTGCGGCATCGTGTTATCGTCGGTGCAAATAAGGCTCCCGGGGCCAGGATCTTGATTTTCCTTGTCGATCTTTCTTAGCAAGAGTCCAAACCCGATAGTTTTCCGTATCATTACCGCCACCGTACCACAATCGTACAATCGCACCGGTTATCACTCATAGCGTAGGATTGAGATCATAGCTGATTGGCACGGCTTGTGTCGGCTCGGATGATTCCAGAGTCCCGCAGTGGTTCGGTTTTGAAGTGGATTGCATGGGACGGGTTTCGCCTTTCCAGGGTCCCACATCTCATTTGGAACATGGGCACCTCCAACTCATGATAAATTTATTACGCCCCTTCGTTTCCCTTACGCTTGAGGCGTTCAACTCGGGGTGAGAAAGGTTTATGCTAGTTTTTCCGGTTGAAGGACTTTTGGTGTGTGTGCTCCTTTCCGTAAAACCAATCTGGTAGGCTTAGAGGAATCTCGGCACTTGAAAAACGCTGAATTAACCTATTGGCTGAACCACTGTACAAGTACTGCACTCGAGCACAGTACCGGTACTTGTACTTTTTCATGCCAAGCATCCCTCCGGGAGTACGATACGAGTACTGTGCTGTAACATAGCATGGCTTTGCAGGTAGAGCGAGGGTTCCGTGGAATTCGGCGTAGGGTCTCGGATGGGCCAATCTCATCTCGGCTTGCCTCTAGACTATGATACTCGTAGGGTAAGTTTTATTGTTCTCGGCTTACGTATGGTTTACCGAGAGGCAAACCAAAGGCAACGGTTGGACTGCCCCATCCGGGACTCCACGGGCAGAGGGGTAGTGCGCCAGCCGAAGGTGGGGAACATCAGTTATGATACTCACTACCGGTGGGATCTTCTGGGCTGTCTAGGGGCCTTTCAACACCTTCCTTCGGCAAGAGACACTCCGTCATCCTCTTCCGGCTCCTTTGACAGTCAACTCAGTACGGTAGATTGCGTCCACTACCGTCACTTACTCATTTGCTTCCCCCTTTCGAAACAGCAAGGGTAATTACAGTAAACCACTCGTTCCAATTTTCACCCAATGGCTGCTCCAAGCAAGGTAACCCCCGCCCCCCGCTTTCATCTAACTCCATCGCATAACAATTCCCAGTTCTCCCTCCACGGTCGAACCGCCCTCGTAACCGGCGGTTCCCGCGGGTGCGGTCTCGCCTTTGCCGAGGGCCTTGCAGAGGCCGGTGCCGACATCGCCGTCTTCGACATAATCCCCCCAACCCCTGGCTTCCTCACAATCCCCGAGCGCTTCGGCGTCCGCGCCGTGCACTACCACGCTGATGTAGCCTCCTCTGACTCCCTCGCTGCGGGCTTTGAGTCCTTTAAAAAAGACTTTGGCGGCAAACTTGATATATGCGTTCCCTGCGCTGGCGTCAACAAGAACGTCGAATTCCTGGATATCACTTGGGAAGACCACGAGAAACTACTGAGCGTTAATGTCATGGGGGTCTACCATACTGCCCAATTGGCTGCGAAGACTATGATTGAGTGCGGGACCAAAGTTGGGAGTATTGTTGTGGTTGCTAGTATCGCGAGTTATATGGCTATTCGGAGCCAGAACAGCAGTGCGTATTGTGGAACTAAAGGGGCGGTGAGGGCGATGGTGCCCGGCATTGCGGCGGAGATGGTTAAATATGTTTGCGGCCACCTCTTCCTTATTTCCTCGTCATTTCTCGTGATGGCTGGTGAATGGACGGGGGCTGATCAATGTTCGATGGGCTAGTGCATCCGGGTAAACTCGTTATCGCCGGGATATGTGCGGACTGAAATGACCGCTCCGTTCCCGCACTTGCTGGAATCGTGGAAGGACGAGATTATGAACCGCCGCGTTGCAGAACCGGAGGATATTAAGGGTGCATGTGTGTTTTTGGCCAGTGACGCTAGCGCTTACATGACCGGGCAGGATCTATGTGTCGATGGGGGCGTTACAAAATGGTAATAATGGGGTGGTAGGTCTCTTTTTAATGAATGGGATCTCTCTCGTTACTTTGAAATTAGTGACCGCGGATCCGTTGACTTGTCCAAGCTATTTATTTCGCGATACTTTGGGATTGTTTTATCTCCGTTTGGTATGGCACTAGCAGCACGGGAGGTATGGCATATATGATAGAATAATGTTCCTTTTTCTCCAGGACACCCAACATCGAAAAAAGAAGAAGGGAAAAAACCTCAAATATGCGAGGAAACGGATTCCTAGAGTATAATTCTGTTGTTTATTAGTGGAACCAAAGCTCTGTTTATGCGGGGATCGTTCCTTAACTCAATCTATCTAAGCACAACTTAGTCCACTCTCGTGGAGTGATAAATACTTAGGTGTGACATATTTTACATATTATACAGTACGATACAAAATATTAAAATTATTATGGTGTTACCAAATATAGCATCTACGCCCCTTACCAACACATCCCAGAAGGGAAGATGGACGAAAAAATTAGCCCCCAAATATCTTTAAACAGTACCTTAGCGCCTAACTTAACTCTTGTTTATGCACCGATGTGAGATGCCATAAAGAGGTAGAAAAGTAATTGATACTCACACAAGTATCCACGGCTTGAATGAGTTACAATACTGGCACTTGCATAACCACCCAGCAGCACAGCATACAAGCCCAACCTCTACCGCAACCCACATCGCCGCTCTCATACCGCTTCTCATCAAGAGACACCGACTCTCGCCCTATGCCACTGGCAGAAGAGCGGCGGACATTTGACATCTGTCGAGGCACAGGCGCCTGCATTGCAATCGATAAGTTGCGCCATGGGGACAACGGGTTAACAACGGGTCTAAATTTGTGGTTGCCTTAATATACCGCGACTTTGGTGTCCTTGGAGAGTGGAAAGCAGCTACCTCATTCGGTTCTATACTCGGGAAGTTTGAGGAGGGGACGGAGATAATCCTTGAAGAAGTGATGAAGCGGTCTAAGCAGTGAAAGGATTCATCAATGGAAAGTCTCTCCGACATTGGAAGATCGTGGAAATCCCTTCTAACTTACGTTTATGTGATCCCACAGTCCGCGTTTTATATGCACCGATGGACTGGATAAATTCCCTACCGAGTATTTTCCTTCGCTTTTGACCTCTTTGAGACAGATTTATGCGGTATGTCCTGGTACTTGGCTCTTCCTTATGGGGATGCCACCCATCCGCCGTAGGGTTGGGAGATAATATGTTTTTTCTGAATTGGCACCGGCGGTATCTGTGGAACTGATAGACGGGGAACCGGGGATATCAAGAGATATCTCACGGCGAGGGTAACTAAGGACTCACAACCCAAGACAACAGGTAAGAAGTTGCGCGGGGATACCCCGGAAGAGGCACTGGAAACTATGTCCGAGAAGTGAGCGGTATTGACAGTATGAGTGCTTGCAGTCCTACTAACATTCTGCCAGGTTTCCTATTATAATACTTCCCTTACCCACCTCCTCGGATTGCCACAGCCAGCCATCCACCAGAAGGGAAACGTTGAGCGAGGTGCCACTCCGCCCGCCCTGGACAATATATACAGGACAACCCTAAAATGGGTTATGGAGCGGAAAGTGTGAGGATCAAAATCGGAATTTGAAAGGCGGTGAAGATGGTATTGGAAGTGGTGATAGAGGCACAGATGTCTCACCCCCTCGGTGAATTACCGCTCACTCGGCAACTACTGCCTTCCAACATAAATTATCATCTGAACCCGTTCTCACACTAAGGTCAGGATAAAGCGTAAGTTAACTCAGCATCACTCGTCGGGGAGTCCTTTTGTCCAAAATCCAGGTCAGTATGTCTTCTAGTGAGGGTTATAGTACTGATCCTGTACAAGAATTTTGGACGTTATACACAATCCGGGCAGGTATCATAGTTCCGGATGACTGGGGTGCTGAACTGCATCCCCTGGGTCCGCAGGTTGGGGAGGTGATCGTTGGGAGCCCAAAATCTTTTTGAACCATTGCGCATTACTGTAGTCTAGTACTTATGAACTAAAATATGGCCACAGTTAGCGGGGGAGCGATCTTTGTGTTTACTGCTTTGAAATAAAAGACACTTTTCAGCACTTGGAAGCTCACACTTGGAACCATACTGGTATTTTTTACATAGAAAAAAAAAATTAATGAACTTTGAGGTTGCCAATACGAAATAGGGGTGTTGCCTATACTAACAGAAGTCAAGTAAGATATCTCGGGGCCAAGCAGCTGGTATCGTCATTCTCGGGGCATATTGCCGCCGCATTTTGGCTGTGGGATCCTAGCTTAGGAGCAGTGAAATGAGGGCCGGCCCGTGCAGCACGGTTCAGCAGGTCCTCCGGTGGACTTGATAAGAGCAGAACACCTGTGGCCGGAAATGCCGGTTCGCTGCCGAAATCTGGGAGCCGTGCTTAGATACCATATTGCAATTGCTTCGGCCGCGTGCTATACTTGTACAATAGTTTCGTTTACTCAATGTAACGGGGTACCTCTTACCCACAAATGAATAATCGATTACTTCGACGCGGCGAGCGGAACCATCGCCCCGAGTGCCGGAAGGGGTAATTATATTAATGCGGTAAGAGACCATTACCACCTCTGCTGTTGGCAAGTGACAGTGAGAGTTGTGCTTTTTTCGCAGTTGGTGCTTGGGGGTTTTTCGTGGATGGCCATTCGCCCAGTATGAGACTCGTGCGATGGGCTGGGTCTTATAACGAACCCCCCATGCATGTGCCACCTCGCCCCGACGTGGCGGTGCGGAGTACACAAGCGTGATGTTGGCTTCGCACTTTTTTGATGGTTTAATTAGAGTTTTCATTGGTATTCGAGTACTTGTAAGGCACGTATAGTCGATTGACATTTGTGAACGGGACCGCCAACGCGTGCAGCCGAATTTTGGCCTCCCTGCAGGGATCGGGATGTGCATGCTAGGCTACTAGGGAGTGGAAGGTTTTGCACCCCCCCGGCAGTAAATGTTTGCGGCCTAATTGGTCAGTAAGACGTAGGAAGAATTTTAGATACAACTGTCAATTAACTATATCTTCACCAAAGCCTCAGGACTCTCTCTCTCTCCGGGCTCAGGCTGTCCGTCGGTTTTGCCGATTGAAGGAGAGAAGGAATCATCAAACATGATCTCCTTGTTCTGTGCGTTCTGTTAGTCCTTGCGAGTTTAATTGCTCTGACAGATATCATATCTTGCGATAGATATTTCTGCAGTTACTGACTAAACACCGGCTTCTTTCGACTGCCTTTTCTCTTCGTATTGGCAGCGTTACTCCCGATATCACTCGGAATCTTTTGTCGAATTAATAAGCTTGTCTCGTATGGACAGTCAGGGGTGGCACAAAAGTTTCAGCCTTGGAGAAAGGTGGCGTGGCGTGGTGCTACTTTAACTCCGCAAAACCCCGCTTTCCCCCTTAGCGACTTAGGTTTCCTTCAGCTTCTACGAGTAGCAATATCGTCGACCGACCATACTCAATAACTCCCCCTCCTGCAATAGTGCAGGAAGCAACGAGCCGGCGATGTCTCAATATACCATCAATGAGAGCAACAGCTGCTCCAATAATACGAACTCGTTTAATGTGTGGAATAACTGTACTTTTGTCGACGATCGGTCTCAAATCCTAACCTGGCTATCGCCCCTAGATCCCAAGTTACGGCATCGGGACGTTCAAGATCGCCGTGTCGATGGTGTGGGGGAATGGCTCATGCAAACAGAGGAATTCGGGAGCTGGTGTGATTGGAGTGGGGAAGGTGAAGGCCATAATGCAGTCTTGTTTTGCTACGGGGATCCGGGAGCGGGCAAGACATTTACCAGGTAGGAAGGGTTATTCGGGGAGGAGAGAATAAATTGAGACAGCGCTAACGACCCGCGATGTTAGTTCGCTAGTAGTGGATTGGCTGTGTGATCAGGCCGGGGGGCAGAACACCGCCGTTACCTGCTTTTACTTTGACTTCGCGGCGCGAAAGGAGCAGTCTGCGACAAGTATGCTGGGTTCTCTGCTAGGGCAGATCATTAGCGGAATGGAAAGTATTCCAGAGGAAATATCACGGGTCTTTCGAGAGCAGAAAAAGGCTATTGGTGGACGGGGGCCGCGACTTCCAGTTATTGTGAAGATGTTGCAGAGCATCACGACCATACAGCACACATTCATATGTATCGACGCGCTGGACGAATGTGTGGGAGTGCAACGAGTCAAGCTCCTAGATTCACTGAAACAGATCCTCGAGAAGTCCCCAGGCACCCGAATCTTCGTTACCGGGAGGCCCCATATTCGGGCTGAGATCGAAAAGCGTCTTGCCGGACGAGTTGTAAGTGTATCTATTGGTCCCAGCAAAGATGACATCATCACATACCTTCGTGTGAGGCTGAGCGAGGACGAAACGCCGGATGCCATGGATGACAGCCTGGAGGCGGATATTCTGGAGAAGGTCCCCGAAAATATATCGGAAATGTATGTAGGGGCAATGACAGAGGAACCTCACCTCGGATTGTCTGCTAATAGGTATATCTAGGTTTCTACTGGTTTCTTTAAATATCGAGGCAATCTTGCGAGAATCGACAATCCATCGGAGGCGAGAGAGGCTCAGCAAAATGGCACATGGATTGGGGTTGGGATGTGCTTACGGTGCCACGATAGAACGGATAAAAGCGCAGGATGGGGATAGGTCGAGACTCGGGATGGCAGCACTGATGTGGATCAGTCATGCCGAGCGGCCTTTGACAGCGGATGAGCTCTGCAACGCCTTGGCGGTCGAGTTAGGTTCTTGTGATTTCAATGTTGCAAACATTCCTTCGATCTCGACATTGGTTAGCTGCTGTCAAGGGCTTATTTCTGTGGATAAGGAGGCATCAACTGTGCGACTGATTCACTATACTCTTCGAGAGTATCTTTCTGCTCATCCCGATATTTTCAGTAGACCTCACTCGGCAATGGCGGAAATTTGCTTAACTTTTCTGAATTCCGAACACGTCAAGGCCCTTTCCGCCGATACCTCTCCAGCCGCTCACGAGACACCCTTTCTAAAATATTGTTCTCTATACTGGGGAGTGCATGCGAAAAGGGAACTCTCGGACTGCGCGAGATCGCTTTCGCTGAAGCTATTTCAGGAGTATGATGGCCACATATCCATTAGATTGCTTTTTCCAGATGATAGACATCTCCGTATTTGTCAATTCAATGGGATGCACTGCGCATCGTACTTCGGAATTTCTGAGGTCGTAGAAGCCTTGATAGAGATGGAATGTTATGATGTCAACGGAGAGGATGATTGGGGGTGTACACCACTTTTATGGGCTGCCCGTAGAGGGCATGAAGAAGTGGTCAAAAGACTACTCGGGTGGGGAGAGCTCGACCCCGACACGCCAGATTATGAGGGGCGAACAC